GGCAAGAGGGCGTGTCACCTCCCATACAAACGGAATTTTTCATACTGCATATCGCAGGAAATATTTGTGATAGAGTACTGGAACTTGGTATGGAAATCAGTTCCACACTCATGGGGGCTGCCAGGTTTATAAAATCAAAAAACGCCAAATTCAGACTATTTAGAAATGTTCAGCTTGAACATGTAGAATCGTATGACGTATTAAAACTAAATTAAAATACAGTTATATTATATATAAGTTAAATGAGTTATTAAAATATTTGTAGGTTTAATCGAAAGTCTTGAAAAAGCTTTCTTTCTAAGCTACATATGTATGTATAGCAGGTTTTCCACATATTTGCAAATTCAAATTCAAGTTTAGTTATAGGAATTAGGCAATTTGTAAGTGAGCGCAATATCAAAAGCAGCAACCCTTATCCATCTATGTACATATGTATATCGCAAAGCTCGAGAACGGCTGAACATATTTTTTTGAAATTTCGACAACAGTCTCGATATATAAAAGGGGCGTAAAGCCTCCCATACGAACCGAATTTTTCATACTACATATCTCTGGAAATGTTCATGGTAGAGTTCTGGAACTTGGTATGGAGATATATGAAATCCATCGCATACTCTTGGAAAAAAATTGGAACTATCGGAGAAGAGGGCGTGGCACCTCCCATACAAACCGAATATTCATACTGCATATCTCTGGAAATGTTCATGGTAGAGTAATGGAACTTGGTATTGGCGCATATCAAATCGATCGCATAATCTTGGAGAAAAATTGGACCTATTGGAAAAGGGGGCGTAGCACCTCCCTTTCAAACCGAATTTTTCATACTGTGTATCTCTGGAAGTATTTATGGTAGAGTATTGGAACTTGGTATGGAGATACATGAAATCCATCGCATACTCCTGGAGTAAAATTTGAGCTATTGGAAAAGGAGGGCATGGCACCTCCCATGCAAACTGAATTTTTCATACTACATATCTCTAGAATTGTTCTTGGTAGAGTACTGGTACTTGGTGTGGTGATATATGAAATTAATCGCCATGGAGAATATATGGAGCTATTGGAAAAGGGGGCGTGGCACCTACCATACCAGCCGAATTTCATACTGCATATCTCTGGAAGAGTTCATGGTACAGTACTGGAACACTTCGTATAGAGATATATGAAATTAATCCCATACTCATTGAGAAAAATTGGCTCTTTACAAAGGGGGCGTGGAAAAGTACAAACGAACTGTCTTTTATTTACTTTTGAATGTGTATATAATTCTTCTGTAGGTATATTTGTGAGTGAAAAACTAAATGGCTGGAGGGATTTTAACGAAGTTTTGTGTGTGTGTGATGTAATGTGGAACGATTTTCCGTCATCCCTTGTCAAATTTGGTTTGGAGACAAACCGGTTTCGGCGTTGTGCCATCTTCAGTGTAATTTTTCGTTCTGTGTGTGTGTTTGAGTGGGTCTCTGGATAGTTTAGTTTCACAATTTAAGCCGCCAGTTGGCGCTGGAATTGAGTTATTACTAAAAATCTTTTTTATGATCCGATTTCGCGAATATTCAATACATGTGTTGGAAACAGTAAAGGCAGTCCAATTTCAAAAAAGAACTGCCAGGTGATGCTGAGGTCGAGATATTACTAAAAATCGACAAATGCGAAAAAGTGCCGTAAATGTCAGACTAAAGCTGAAATTGGTCAAGAACGTAAACCTACCAGTACGTAAACCTACAAGTACGTAAACCCGAGTCAGCTGACACGATCTGTCTTACCAGAGCGCCATGTAAATTAAAACTTAACACCGCAGAATTTTTCTGTAGTTGTAGACCATAGCGCAGAAATCTGCGGAATTTAGATTTTTCCGTGTCAGCTGATTTCTTCCTTCTATAGATGGTTGCCACTTCGTCAGTTTTGCAGATGGTAAAAAAGTTATAATTTCCTATTCAAAATACGTTCAAAATATTTTTGAAATTTACTATTGAATAAAGTTTTTTGTTGAAAACTAAAAAGTTTATATTTAGCTACGATCTATTATAGCACGAGAAATTGTAGTTGAAAAGGTAAGTTTATGAAAAGGCATTGATGAGTGGCAACACTGTAGTAAGCAACACTGAGGGCTCCAGTAATCGACAAAATTCTTCGTATACAGACGGCGTTTAAGTATACGTTCTGCGTTCTTGAATAATTTCAGCTTGAATCGACCTGTTCCACCATTGAGTATATCGAACTCTCGTGTGTTACGATTGCCCCAATGGATGTAATTTGCCAAAATTATTATGCGTTAAAGCTTCATTCGAAGAAACCAGGTCTGAGTTGTGCAGTGGTAAATCTCAAATCACCATTCGAAAAGCCAGTTTCATGAAAGCAATTTAATGAAAATTTATTTTTTTAATTGAGTAGTCCACTAGCAAACAGCGTTATGTGAATTTATAATAGAACGCCATAAATTTGAAAAAAACGACTACGACAACAAGTAACATTTAAATTGGATATTTTTTATTATTACCTGAAAATTTGGATAAAGAAGAGCCTTATAAAATTGTAACATAACATACCTTAACTTAACTTAAAGCAGTTTTCTAAGTTCATCAGAAGATGTATACTTTTAAAATATTATAAATAAGTATGATAGCGACTTATGGAAGAAGAGTTAATATTTGATGCTATTTTTTTCAGTATATAAAAAGATTTTGCACTGTGTTGTGAGTGGACATGAAACTACTTTAAATACTGGTACGTAATCCACCAAAAACTAAGAATCGAGAAAATTTTACATAGCGCACTTTGCAAGTGGACTACTCAATTGAATTTAATATAGAACCTGACAGAAAAAATAATTTTTCATTTAAACTGCTTTCACGTTATTTAAGGTATTTCATCTCAATTTATGTATGTATATTGTATTTCTGTTGAACAAGGATACACATTCATTTTGAAATTGCCACGAACTATAAGATAAAGTTTCTAGGGCACATTCACTATAGATCCGGATCATTGTTGCCACCAGGGAACTTCTCAGGGACATAACACTTTCGTTCGGTTATTTAAGGTAGCAAACGACCACCAAACCATAGTTTTAGCCGATGAATGTGCCAGTACAAATCATAACTATGGATTGTTGGAGAAACTCTTGGACCAAAATGTTTAAATTAAAAATCTTGTTTTGGGCGGGACGAACTTCGCCGGGTCTGCTAGTAAGAAGATAAAGAGCTATACTTTTATTTAAAAAAAAAAAAACAAAAATGAACATTTAAAAAAAATATATAAATACAGAGTCAGAACGAAAACGAAATAAAATAGTGGAGAAAAGCAACAAGAATTAACAAGGCGTAGGTAACTGGCTGAGTCAGTGGAATCGTCGGTCCGAATCCTACAGAAATAAGTCTGATGAGGAAATGTGGTGATTTCCGAAATAGCTATCACTTCTACCATTTTTTCAAATCATTGTTGCTTTTCCACAATAAGCTTTTAATTAAAAACGGCCTCAAGCTCAATAAAAATTATTGAATATAATCAGAACAGTTCAAAAAAGAAAAATATCCAAAACCAGTCAAAATGTCACATGACTTAATCAGCTGACCACAAAGGTACTTAAAGTAATAATATGCATATTTAATTAATAAACCAAAAAAAAATACATTAAAAGTAAACTGTGTAAGCACATCACATTTAGAATTCAAGTATTGCAGTCATGTAGCTTACGTTTTGTTATGGTGAAATAGCCAAAGCTAGTCAAAACATCACTTAACTTAATCAGCTGACCACAAGTGTACATATATCGTCGTGTGAGATTGCACAAATTTTATATGAGAGAGTAAAACGTGTCTTATTTAAAAACGGTTCTCTCTTTTATCCCTAATTATTTCTCCTTCTTATATCTAAGTATCGATATTTGAGTATAAATAGATAAGGGATTGATGCCAGGAGCTTCCGATGATCGATATCTTTTTTGGCACAAATGTCAGTTACAAGGTTTTGCAGAGCCACGATACGCGGTTTTGTACTTTAAACGACGACATACACATTGTTGTAAAATGCAGAAGATTTATTATGTTCCTTTTTTCTCAGTGAAAAAGATTTTGGTAACTTTTCTTAAGTGCAAAAAAATTTTCGCGAGTGGCTACCACGAATCCGAAAAGCGAGTGGAAAGTAAAATGAATGAAAGTAAAGCTCAAAATAATGAAATTTTGTCCCACAGCCAATGAATGTTAAAGGGAACATTTGAGGGAACGGCGCTCCAAAGAAAACGTACAAAAACCCATCATCCTCAGCAACAACCCGGTGGGTGTTGTTACAATGCGTACATATGTATATATCTTAGCTATACTTTTGGCCTTTCGGCTTCTTGTACATACATACATACACACTAATATACATACTCGAAAGCGGGTGAGTATTAAAGTCGAGAACGAAAATTATTCTTTAAGGAGGGAAAGGACAAAATTACACTACGAAACAACAGCAAGAACAAAGTAAAATGTCATCCACTGACACAACGCTCATTGTCACAATCGAAGGTCGAGAAGAGCAGATTGGTATGTGGATAAGTTTTCCTGGTTGCTTTTACAAACCTCATTGAGGCCGGTTTTTTGTTTCAGTTGCGGCCAGGCACTGAAAGGGTGCATACACGGATCCGAAGTAATTCGTTGCATTCATACCAGCTCTCGCCCTTCGTTGTAGTTCAATTTGTGACATTTAGCTGCTTTGATAATAAAAAAAACTAAAGAAATACAATACATAAATGGAAATACACATACTTTTGTGTTCTCTCTTCTGTTGTCTATATTCATAACAACTCTCAAACGGTTTGTTCGTTACAAATTCGGCAACTGTAAAATAGAATAAGCAAAAGCAATGAATAAGCTGTTATGTCTGGTGTTGGCGCTAACGACATTTACACAAATTTCCTTTAATTACAGGATCATTACTTACTCGTGTTTGTTTCTGTGAAGGCGTTTATAAAAAATTAAAGTACCAAAATCGTAAAGTACCACCTCGTGTTTCATTGTAGTTTGGTTTTCTCTTCATTCATAAATTATTTGTAAGTGACATTTGAAAAACACTAAAGAAATCACAAAGCTAACATGCGGACGATAAAAAATTACTAAAAAAAAACACTGATTAATTGCAAGCAACGAGTGTATAAATGTATTTAAAATTTCGGTGGAAAGTCATTATTCCTTTGGCAGGTAAGAGTTCATATGTACATATGAGCCATTTATTTTGAAAGTAGCATATGGGTGTTTCCATACAGCCGTACGCGACATTCGTACGCTTATAGAGTAGCGTAAATCTATCAAAAATAGAAGTTACTGAAAAAAAAGATTACGGTTATGTTGCAACCAAAGGGTACTATGTTTGAGAAAAAAATAAGCAGCCTCGAAACTTTGGTGTGGAAAATATCCGTTCAAAACAAGGTGATAACGTACGCGACAAAAAAAGAAGTGGTTTTAAGGCACATATACATATGTATATGCGAAAGTCTGCGAATCATGAGAGTTTTTCTTTTCTTTGAAAATTCCTAAACTAAGCTAAATAATGTACCTTTACAATCCTTCCATTTTTTAATAGAAATTATCTCTGGTTAGTTTTTATTTAAAAAAAATATAATTCCTAAACTAAGCTAAATAATGTACCTTTACAATCCTTCCATTTTTTAATAGAAATTATCTCTGGTTAGTTTTTATTTAAAAAAAATATAATAACGTACGCGACAGATTTTTCCCCCATACAATATTTTTACTAGTAACACATACTAAATTATATTTTTTCAGTTCTTCTCTCCACCGTTTCGCGTTTTCAAGACCTTTTTCCGCCATCTTAATATGAAATTTCAAGTTATAAAGCCGTTTGAATTCATTTCCTTGCATTTTCGGTTTACATTTTCATGGAAACACGCATATATGTGAAAGTCTGCGAATCATGGGAGTTTTTCTTTTCATTAAAAATTCCTAAACTAAGCTAAATAATGTACCTTTATAATCATTTTATATTTTAAGAGAAATTATCTCTGGCTAGTTTTATATTAAAAAAAAAAACAATAACGTACGCGATAATTTTTCTCGTAAGTAATAAAATGTGTTTATTGAGAAATTTAATTTAATTTAATTTTTTTCGCAATTTTTGCTGCCGAATTCGATCTTTTTTCCTGAAGTAATAAGGCGTCTTCTTTTGCCGCATCTGCCTTGCTTTTTCGATAGGCCCGCTGTCTTTCAGCCTCCTTTTTTTTTGGTGCTCTTTTAGCTTTGCTTCATTTTCTTTTAACTCTTCTCGCCACCGTTTCATTGTTTTACAACTATTCTAAATAATTTAAATGGAAAATTTGCAATTAACATTGGTTTTGATGTATTTGATTGAAATTTTCGTACTTACAATAACGTATGCGACAAACTTTAAAGGGTAATAACATTTTTTTTACTTTGGTTGGAAATAAAATTTTACTGTATATCTTTAACTGGAAGATTTCTCGCTTAAGAATTGTAATCTGCATTACCTGCGACTGTCAATATACAAATGACATAGACAAACAATGTTTTTGCATAACGTACGCGACATTAGAATACTATCAGAAGTAAATCAAAAAACTACCGTTATTCGAGCTCTAACTTCTCCTTTTTTCAAATTTATAGTTAGTTGTTATTGTAAATTTGATTTTAAGATGTAATTGTAATGTTTCAAATCTCTTAATTTATTTAATAGGAAAGAGGAAATAGTTCATTTCATTAGAGAAAACTGAATCGAAGAGACATTCAGTTTTACTCCTCCATTTTTGAGTTTTAAAATTCCAATAAGCTGAAATACTTCTATAATATAAAAATTCGAGTATTTTTATCTTATTAAGTCGTCTTAAAAACCCTTTTCAGTTGTTTTTATTTTTTCAGTCCTGGTTGACATTTTCATGGAAACGCCCATATGTCACTTCGTGCCACTTGTGCTTAAATGACCGGCTACTTGTAACCGAATGCAGTTACAAATCGCTCTATCGTCTTAAAACAATGAAGTTGAACGAATAACCGACGCGTTTAGATACACGGTCAAAAATTTGGGTTTAATTTTTAAACCGCGCTGGGACTACTGCCTTTTTTAATCTTTTATAGTCTACTTTTTAAACCAGTCAATAGTTTTAAGCAATTTTTAATATATTCTGGTTTAAATTTTAGTCCAAAAAGTTCGGTGTTTAAAATTAAACCAAAATGTTTTAATTCTAGTTTCTTGGTTTCATATATGGAAAATTTGGTTTAAAATCTAAACCGAAATAGAAAATGTTTGCACACAGCGAAATGCGGTATTGATTCTAATACAACATTTGAAAGCACATTTACATGCGTGGCTGTAGCTGAGTGTGCAAAGATGCTTGATACAATTGGTTGCTACCAAGGCTGTCCGGGTTCAATCCCCACCAGACGCAACGTGAAATTTAAGATTTTTTATTTTTTATTCTTAATTAAAAATGAAAATGTTTGGGTTTAAAATTTAAACCGAACTGTTTAAATTCTAAACCCAACATATGTGCCCTCTTTTTTTTAACTTAGAAGGTTTGTATTTGAAACTGAATTTAGTTTGGTCATATATGTAGTCCAAAAAGTTTAAAATTAAAACCGAAATTTTTAACCGTGTATAGTTTTTGAGTTGCTTAACAATCATTATACTTAGTGATTCCATAAACAAAGGCCACTATCCTGAAGGACAATTGAGAAAGGCAATGCAGTTGCAGAAAAAGAGTCATTTAAAAAAAAAGTGTCAAAATAATTACCACTTTCTCACAAAATTTATTTAAAAATGCAAGCTACCAGAGCTACCTTTTTTTTAAGAGAAGACAAATTAATTTTTTTTATGCAATCCACCACAGCTACCTTAATATAGTCAGTCAATAAAGTTTAGGTACAACGAATTTTTTACAATACAGGCAACTATCTTTTTAATATTTTAGTTTTCGGTAATTTTTTATAAAAATATGGTCAATTCTACAGCAAAATTTCATTAAAACAATTCACTTTCTATTTACGCTCTCTAGAAAAAGT